GTTACCCCTGACAGCGCTCTCTCTCTCTTACTGTGAGTCTATGTCTCTCGGCCTCACAGTGACTCTGCTGCTCTCAGAGTTTAGGACCATCTTCTCACATCCATCACAGCTCTGTGAGTGAGCAGCTGTGCAGAGTCCTCACAAGCTGAGCTGTTACTGATCTGGTATACACGCTGAAGATGAGGAGCCCTTCATCTTCATCACCATCACATCCTTCAGACCTGCTTCGTTTCCTGAATGAATGAAGCTGAGCTGAGGAACACTGAAGGTCAGGATCCATCAGAGACATTAAACCTGCTGCAGGTTCAGAGACCCAGCTGATCCAGTCCAGGTAACCAGTAATGACTCCATGAACTTCTTAATGCAGTTTACTCAAAATCATCCCACAGATGTAATATTATCTACAGCTACTCTTAGTACCATTGATGTTAAGTTAGACTCTTTTTCTCCAATTGATCTTTCTGAGTTAACTTCAATAATTACTACGTTGGCTACCATAGCAGTATAGCACTGCAACATGGCATTTGGGTTTTCTAACTAAAATAGGAAAAAATAGGAACATAAATAGTGCCATCATTGCCAGACCTGGCCCACATGTGGTTGACATACACTCTGCCATAACACCGGTCAGTCAGAAGTGCCAGTTTGATGCCGGATCCAGGGAAGACCTGTTTTCTATGAGCCTGGGCCACATACACCAAACCACAATCAAACCAGATATGGCATGCCATCACATAAACACTACAATCTATGCCAGGACTGACCCATATCTGGATGACATACATCTTACCATGCCAGCAGTGCCGGCTTGATACCAGATCCAGGCCAGACCTGCTTGCCATTTGCCTCCAAACCATCAACGTGTCTTTTAGACCCCATTCCTACAAAACTGCTCAAAGAAGTCCTGCCATTAATTAATGCTTCGATCTTAAATATGATCAACCTATCTCTAATTATCGGCTATGTACCACAGGCCTTCAAGCTGGCTGTAGTTAAACCTTTACTCAAAAAGCATCTCTAGACCCAGCAGTCTTAGCTAATTATAGGCCAATCTCCAACCTTCCTTTATATCAAACATCCTTGAAAGAGTAGTTGTCAAACAGCTAACAGATCATCTGCAGAGGTTTATTTGAAGAGTTTCAGTCAGGTTTCAGAGCTCATCACAGCACAGAAACAGCTTTAGTGAAGGTTACAAATGATCTTCTTATGGCCTCTGACAGTGGACTCATCTCTGTGCTTGTCCTGCTAGACCTCAGTGCAGCGTTCGATACTGTCGACCATAATATCCTATTAGAGCGATTAGAACATGCTGTAGGTATTACAAGTACTGCGCTGCAGTGGTTTGTATCATATCTATCTAATAGACTCCAGTTTGTGCATGTAAATCAGGGGTCCCCAATCCCAATCCTTGAGGGTAGGTGTCCCTGCAAGTTTTAGATGTGTCCTTGATCCATCACAGCTGATTTAAATAGATAAATTACCTTCTCAACCTGTCTTGAAGTTCTCCAGAGGCCTGGTAATGAACCAATCATGTGATTCAGGTGTGTTGACCCAGGGTGAGCCCTCGTGGACTGAGATTGGGGACCCCTGATGTAAATGGAGAGTCCTCTTCACACACTGAGGTTAATTATGGAGTTCCACAGGGTTCAATGCTAGGACCAATTCTGTTTACATTATACATGCTTCCCTTAGGCAGCATCATTAGAAGACATAGCATACATTTACACTGCTATGCTGATGACACCCAGCTCTATCTGTCCATGAAGCCAGATAACACACACCAATGAGTTAAACTGCAGGAATGTCTTAAAGACATAAAGACCTGGATGGCCGCTAACTTTCTGTTTCTTATTATGCATTGCATGCACAATCAGAGAGAGCATATTTCTCCTGTTTTGGCTTCCCTTCATTGGCTTCCTGTTAAGTCCAGAATTGAATTCAAAATCCTGCTCCTCACATACAAGGTCTTAAATAATCAGGCCCCATCTTATGTTAATGACCTTGTAGTACCATATCACCCTATTAGAGCTCTTCGCTCTCACACTGCAGGCCTACTTGTTGTTCCTAGAGTATTTAAAAGTAGAATGGGAGGGAGAGCCTTCAGTTTTCAGGCCCCTCTTCTGTGGAACCAGCTTCCAGTTTGGATTCAGGAGACAGACACTATCTCTACTTTCAAGATTAGGCTTCAAACTTTCCTTTTTGCTAAAGCATATAGTTAGGGCTGGACCAGGTGACCCTGAATCCTTCCTTACTTATGCTGCAATAGACATAGGCTGCCGGGGGATTCCCATGATGCATTGAGTTTTTCCTTTCCAGTCACCTTTCTCACTCACTATGTGTTAACAGACCTCTCTGCACTGATGGATTTTTTTCAGTTTCTTGATCTTTGTTTCTCAAAGGTTAAAATACAAATATTGATGAATTGAATTTTGTAGTTACGAGAATCTGCAGTCACTATGGGAACAGCAGGAGGAGAAACATCCACCGAGTTAGAGGCCTGAGCTTCACACACAGACCAGCAGGTTGTGATGCCATACAGCCTGTGGTCATGTGATCACACTTCAATGAGCTGTATTTAAACATTATAGTGATGAAACCAGGACAGCAGGCAAACACCACCGGGACGTCCTCTTCATTAAGCTTTACACACACACACACACACACACACACACACACACACATTTAACACCCCGTTTAACTACAGATCTGATGACGATGGTAAATGGAGTTCACACATGCATGCAGCATGCAGCGGTTCCCACAGCTGGAGGCAGATGCACTCGGTCCCTCAAACGCATCGCGTTGCGTTCACAGTGCCGGTCAGCAGAGGTAAGGACTTCAGGCCTCTGGGGCTTGATGATGCCGATGATGATGGTGGTGACAGCTGGATCGGTGTGAACCGTCGCCGTGATATTCATCGGTACTTACACATGTCATTTAAACAGGATCCAGCTGTGGTGATGTCACTGCGTCTGACATCTGGATGGATCCATGAACCTGAAACCTGCCCACAGCTACACATTTTACCCTCCACCTCACACAGACGGCCATTACACTCACTCAAACTTCACCTCGGTTACCACACGATTGGCCTGGCCGGAGGCCCCGCCCCCTGGCCTGTGGAGCCAATGGCGTGCTAATGAGGGCTATAAAATGAAGGTGTCCTACCATCATCCTCTGCCTGTGCCTCTTGGCTTTCCGTACGTTGTTGATGAATCGTCGTCCCATCTTCTTGGCGTACCACACGGACACGAACATCACTTCCTGTCTCTCTCCTCAGCAAGCGGTTACATAAAGAGCGGCGGCGTAGAGACGGATGAATAATTAACCAAGAAGAAGGAGAGAGGAGGAAGGTCGCGCTCAGCACAAACCCGCTAACCCTGCGAGGCGTCGGATCCCGTTAACGGAGCGCAGAGACATGGCCGACAGCTCACAGAGAGCGAGCGAGCATCCTGCTCCTGATGGAGAGAAATGAGACGGAGGGACGAGCGAGGAAAACTGAAGAGAGAGAGAGGCTGTTCATCACTCCTCCGCTCTCTCCTCGCTCGACCCTCCTCATGCTTCACTGCACACCTCTCTCCCTCTCTCTCTGTGTCTGTGTCTCTCTACCACCACCGCCCCTCGCTCTCTGAAGGAATCCCCTCCCCTCTGTGATGTCACCATCGCCAAGAGAGAGAGAGAGAGAGAGATAAAAGATGAAGATGAAGAGGAGGAGGGGGGCATAGGGAAATTTGGGGGGGTAATTCAGCAAACACACACACATACTCAGGCTAATGCTGTTGCCATGGCAACACCACCCCCACATCCCCTTCTTCTCATCTCTCCCTTTTCTGCCATTCTTGCCGTTGCCATGGTGACGAGCGACAGAGAGAGAGAGAGAGAGGCAGAGCATCAGATTCAGAGTGGGCACGAGCGGCCCACACTGTGTGTGTGTCAGTAATTAAGCAAGGAGAGGTCCCTGTGGCTGTGGGCCTGACCCCCACCACCTCACTCTCTCTCTCTGTGAATATTAATGATGGGGTAAATGAGGGACGGGGGACTGGGGCTGACCTCACCTGCTGCCTGTGACATCACAGCGACCCCAGTGCACAGATCTGACCTGGGAACAGCTCTTTGGAAGTGTTTCAACAGCGGAGCTCTGATCAGAGACCTGAGGATGTGACAGGACCTCCCACAGACCTCCTCACTTCTCCACAGAGCTCCTTGAGAGCCCTCCAACCTTTTGGAGCCTCCCTGTGGTGAGCCCCTGCACTCTTTTTTTGAGCTTCCAAGGACCTTTAAGTTCAGACCCTCAAAACCTGATAAAACCGCTTAAACCCTGTTAAGCATCATCCAGCACGTCCTCTGACACACAACGGTCCTCCTAAACACCTGGAATCTCTCATCAGTGATCCCAGGACCCTAAAACCTTCAGATCAAACCCCAGACATCACTGGAACATGTTCAGAGACCTGAGGACACATGAAACACCTCAGAGCCCCCACAGAGACCCTCACCTGCCCCTAACAAGCTCCTCCAGGACCTAAAACCTGGACAAGGACCTCTGAGCACAGTCACCCTGACCCCCTCCAGCCTCCTCAAGGACCTTTCCAGGGATTCTGACCGTGTGACATCAGGATGAGTCAGCTCCACACCCTGTGACCCCGTCACTCTGCTGCTGATGGTGTTCTATTATTACACTTGTACCGAGCTACATCACAGCACCACACACCACACGCCTGCTCAGTCACAGCTGCAGGCGGGCTGATGCTGCCCCCTGTTGGTCAGATGAAGAACTGCATCCACACTGACACAAAACCAGAAACAATGAATTAAATATTCATTTACATGAGTTATCATTTGTGTCATATTTGTACATCTGGAATTATTTGTGCAGACCAATTTATTTTAGCTTGTCAGAAAAAACCTGACCAATGAAAAAACTGACACAACTGATACTAGATGGTTAAAACACACTAGACTCAGTGTGCATATGAGTGTGTGTGTGTGTGTGCACGTACTGTGATTGCAGCGGGGTGTGTGTATCCGTCCAGGTGTGTGTGGCTCAGCTCAACGCTGCGTCCTTGGGTCATGTGACCGGGGCTGGGATCAACAGGTGGAGTCTCATCGTCTTGGTAACGGTACTTCTGCAGTGAAACATATCGGGGTTAGCATTAGCTGTTAGCATGAGGACCCTGTCCCCACAGCTGAGACACCTCCACTGTCCCTGTTCCTGGACCTCCTCGGGGAGCTCCGACACATCACCAGGACTCCCTGCAGTCCATCTGAGGAACAGGGAGGAACTCCAAACTCCAGGCGAACTCCTGAAACCTCCTCTAACCCTGTTTCTATCTGCTCAGGCCGCCTCGCAAACACTTGGAGGCCCTCTGGAACCTCCTCAACAACCCCTGAAAGCCCACAGGGCTCCATCAGCCTCCACACGGAGCTCTGTGGGTTTCTGTGGATCATCCAGACCCCTGAGGAGCTCTGACACCGTCCTCATAATCCTGTTAAACAGGTTTACCAATGCATCGATCACACAGGTTGTCTGTCATAGATCATTATATTTGTGTTTATTACCTCTTTATTACCATGATGTCACCATCGATGAGGGGTTACATCAATGACTCATCCTCACATCAAATATCTATAATCCACAAAATAGCAATAACATTAATTATTCATGTCTAACCTCCTCCAGATCACAGATCAGAGTCTAGCATGGAAGGTCAGGGAAGAAGGAAAGGAAGGAAGGGAAGGAAGGGAGGAGTTTAAGGAGCGAAGGGAAGCATTCGGCAGAGAGCGAGGAAACGAGGTAGCTGTTGGGAAAGTAGAGAATGAGAGGCAAAGATGATGCGGTTGCCATAGTAACAAGAAGACCCTTGAGAGCTTCCGTTGCCTGGCAGCTGACATCACCAAACAGAGGGGGAGGAGTCATGTTCGATTCATAAAGATGGAGACAGACACACGGAGCGGCGGCGCAGCATTTGTAACCTGCTCTTACCCATCAGCCTCGGCGGCGCCATGCTCACCTGTCTGTGTGTCTGTGGGTTTAACATCTCTGATCCTCACTGTGTGAAGTGTGTGTGAAGCTCAAAGGACTCTAATTAAAGGCAGGAAGTGGTGACCCCTGACCTCAGGCGAGCTGACACGATGATGTGAGCGGCGGTGATTTAACGTCTGGTTAAAGCGCTGACGAGCTGCTGTGTTTACACACCTGTGTGTGACAGGTGACCCACGGGCCTGCAGGAGGCGCCACAACACACACACAGATAAAGACTGTGTGTGTGTTGGAATCCTTCAGACCGTCTACTCACAACTAAACAGGAAACAAACTGCATGCACGTCATGTGACCACATTCACACCTGAAAATCACCAGACGGGTACGAATAAAAGCTGCAGATCCTGATGGTACAGACACACCTGGGTGACACTTTATAAGTGAAGGTGTAACTCCTGGACAGGTAAATGGAAGTGTAAGTACAGCGTGAGCAGTTAGATTAGATTAGATTAGATGAAACTTTATTAATCCGTCGGGTGGGTTCCTCCGGGAAATTCAGTTTCCAGTAGCAAAGCACCGAAAGAAGTTGCATGTTACAGATACATTAAGGGCAATGAGAGTAAGGATATAAGCATAAATACACCATATATACACATATATAGATACAGAATATACAATATGGATAAATAGGATTGCTCATTTGAGTGAGTATATTGCACAGTGATTATTGCACAGTCAAATATAAGAAAAAAGACAAAACAAAAAACAAATATTGCAAATATTGCACCGTGTAGAAAAGCACCTACAGCTTAGTTGTTCCCCCCTCCCTTATCCCCCTGTTTCTCCGTCCTCTCCCCTCCAGAGAGGAGTTAAACAGTTTGATGGCGTGTGGGACAAAGGAGTTTTTAAGTCTGTTGGTTCTTGTCTTGGGGAGAAGCAACCTGTCACTGAACAGACTCTTCTGATTGTTTACGACCGTGTGCAGAGGATGCCCAGCATTGTTCATAATGTCCAGCAGTTTTTTTAATGTCCTTTTCTCTGCCACTGTCACCAGAGTGTCCAGCTTCATGCCGACCACAGAACTAGCCTTCCTGATCAGTTTCTCCAGCCTGGATGAGTCCTTCTATGCTGTGCTGCTCCCCCAGCACACCACAGCATAGAAAAGTACTCCAGCAACCACTGACTGGTAAAACATCCTCAGGAGCTTCCTGCAGATGTTAAAAGACCTCAGCCTCCTGAGGAAGTACAGTCGGCTTTGGGCTTTTTTTATACAGGTACTCTGTGTTGCATGACCAGTCCAGTTTATTGTCCATCCACAGCCCGAGGTACTTATACTTGACCACCTCCACCTCCTCCCCCTCTATCTGAACCGGCAGTGGACCTTCTCTGGACCTCCCAAGTCCACAACCAGTTCCTTAGTCTTTGAGGTGTTGAGTTGCAGGTGGTTTGTGTGACTCCATGCGACAAAGTTCCTCACCAGACTTCTGTACTCCTCTTCCTGATCATCCCAGATACACCCCATGATGGCTGTGTCGTCTGCAAACTTCTGAATGTGGCATAATTCAGAGTTGTAGCAGAAGTCAGAGGTGTACAGGGTGAAGAGAAGAGGGGACAGCACAGTTCCCTGTGGTGCTCCTGTGCTGCTGACCACTGTGTCAGACATGATGTCCTTCAGCCTGACGTACTGTGGTCTGTCGGTGAGGTAGTCGGAGATCCAAGCCACCAGGCAGGGGTCCACCTCCATCCTGTTCAGTTTTTCCTGAAGCATACAGGGCCGGATGGTATTAAAGGCACTGGAAAAGTCAAGAAACAGGATCCTGACCGTGCCTTTTCCCCCATCCAGGTGTGAGTGGGCTCTGTGTAGGAGGTACAGGATGGCATCCTCCACTCCGACATCCGCCTTGTATGCAAACTGTAGTGGGTCCTGGGCATGTTGTACCTGTGGTCGGAGGAGGTTGAGGAAGAGCTGCTCTAGAGTCTTCATAAGATGTGACGTCAGTGCCACCGGTCGGAAGTCATTCAGCTCATTGGGCCGGTTCTTTTTGGGGACCGGGACGATGCAGGATGTCTTCCATAGGGCGGGCACTCTCCCCAGTCGCAGACTGAGGTTGAAGACTCGTTGTAGCGGCTCTCCAAGTTCAGCAGCACACGCCTTTAGCATCCTAGGACACACCTTGTCTGGGCCTGCTGCCTTTCTGGGGCGAAGCTTCCTCAGTTGTCTCCTGACCTGATCCACTGTGACACTGGCAGATGATTGGGAGGGGGGGAGGCTGTCGTGCTGTTTAGAGAGGGGTTGGAGAAGGAGGAGGGGGGGGGGGGTGTCATAGTGTCAGGGAGGGGGGAAGCGAGGTAGGTAGGGTGGGGAGAGGGCTCTGTAGTGAAGGTGAGGGTGAGGGTGGGGGGGTTGTGGGCTGGTCAAACCTGTTGAAGAAGTTGAGTTCGTTTGCCTTCTCCACAGTCCCCCCACTGTGCTTTTCTTGGTGTTGTGGCCTGTGATGGTTTTCACACCATTCCAGACCTCCCTCATATTGTTCCTCTCCAACTTCTGCTCCACCTTCCTCCTGTAGGTGTCCTTTGCTTCCTTCAAGCAGCGTTTCACCTCCCGCTGTGCTGCTTTCATCTCCTCCTTCACTTTGCTCCTGAAAGCCTTCTTCTTCATGTTGAGGACAGTTTGTGATGTGGTTGTAATTGTGCTGACATTTCCCCGTCCCGTATGATGGGGTGGATTGATCTCGACTTTTTATGTCTTCATTTAATATTCAGTCGTTAATGTGCTCGAAACATGCTCTATTATTCTTAAATGAACACAGATAAAGACGTCTCTGTCTTTGTAACAAGAACAAAACTACTGTCATAATTTGCAGACACATGTGAGCTCATGATGACGGTGGAAACTTTTTATTTTCCTTTCACCGTTACTGTGCTTTAAATCTGTAAAGGGAGGGAATGAAAAGAACATCTTTCATGTGCATGAACATAGTGAGTATAAGATACAGATATAAAACACAGGGATGTGAAAAGGCTCTGTAATAAACTACAGCGTACTCGTGATATAAGACGGGGAAATATGATCTGTTTCCTGTAAACATTTGTTTCACAGTCCCTACATTTACTTGTTTTCCTGTAGAAAGCAGACAGTATGTGTAGGTACATACGATTCATTTCTAATCAAACAGACTGAAACTGTTTGCTAACAGGGGACTTACGCCCTTAGTCGTGTTATAGAGTAGAGCCAACAGCTGCACCTGCTGGACTACATCAAGGCTGTAACAGAAGAACCAGTGGTGAGCTCCAGCTCCAGTAAAACCAGTGAAAAGCACTTTATTTTGATGCCGCTCAGAGCTCTGCAGCTGTGTGGTCTCCAGTGAAAACTACCTGACAGGATGAAACCTTTGCAGTGATCACTGTTTCTAAAAACAAACGGACCTGAGCCATCGTCAGTCCTTCAGAGGCAGAAGAGAACCTCATTAAACCACTGAGATGGAGACAAAAACAGCCGCTCAAGCCTCGAGGATAATGTGTTTGTTAAACCGTGTTTCCCTGTGTTATGGGCATCGTTTTCAGCTCGCCACAATAAAGGTTCATCTTCAGTTTAATACCTCCATCATCCTGAAAGCCTGTATTTCCACGTCACAATGACATCACGAGGTCATGTGTCAGCAGCATGTTCCAGTAGTACCCAATCCAGGGCTCTAGACTAACTTGTTGCCATGGTTGCACTGGTGCGCCTAACTTTTTTTATTAGGTGCACCCAAATGTTTCAACCGCGGTGCCCAACACTTTACACGTTCACTTTCTAAACATGACCGTCCATACAGACAATATTGATTTGTAAATGATTACCTATCAGTCTTGTCAACACAAAGTTCTTTATTTGGAGCTCATTTCTACAAAAAACATAAGTTACCGTATTTTTTGGATTTTAAGGCGCATTACGCGAGACAAATAGATAAGTCAGACTTTACTTGAAATCCGCTGCATAAGCATGTCTCTTATCAGGAGCCATTTTGGGCTCCTTATACACACAATACGGTAATATTGCATTGACGCACAGTACGTATCACTCCGCGAGGCTCCAGACCACGGTAGCCGTAATGCTCCGACAATCTATGCAGCCGTGCAGCTTCATAGGTTACCAAAGTCGTACTAAAACATTTGTGACAGATTTTTGAGCCACATGTACTACATGAAATCAGCTCGAGCTCAGTAAACACAACCAGAACTCATACATAAGGCGCACTTTTGAGAAAATTAAAGGATTTTAGGTGCGCCTTATAGTCCAAAAAATACGGTACTGATGAAGTTCTTGTGCTTAAACTGCTTCACTGAGCTGAAATTTAAACTTAAAACATCTCAAGATATGTTAAATAAAAACAAAATCTGAGTTAAAAAAGTCTCGGAGGCTTCAAACTGAACATCTGAACATCTTACTTGTGCATGGGAACCTGAGAGGTCCCGCCCCTGACTATGTCTGATTGGTTTAGATCACGATATCGACGAAATGTGTATCTATTGTTGACCACACAGAGACTTTCAGAGTTGCAGAGACTCTTTTTTGGGGTTTTTTGCTCAAACGGCTGGTCGATTATTTTTAGTCGCACCTTTGAGAAATTAGGTCTCATTTGCGACCAAATGGGTTGCACTCTAGAGCCATGACATACTATGACAGTCAATTCTTTCCATTACAATCGAGTACCACCTGCAGTGGTATGCAATCTGTTGATGTCACATTTCCAGATCACCTCAGGTCACTTTGGAACCCCGGCATAGCGGGCACTAAAAACGTACCTGGTACCAGGAGCTACCACTAATGGAAAACCCTGAAAACCATGGCGAACTTCCAGAGTAGGTGCTAATGAAAAAGAGTCTTAAAGACTGGAACCAGTTCAGCTCATGCAAACATACACGTGTAGAAGAACCAGCAAAGCATTTAACTCTTTAACATGCTGCAGGAATCAGTCCGGTCTGAGCCAGTTCTCACTGGACTGGATTGGTCCATTCAAACAAACTGCTGCCCAATCAGGAGCGAGCACAGCAGAAGAGTCTGTTTGAATACACAAGACCTCAGTGTGTGTGTGTGGGTCCATTAGCAGCACTGATGCAGCTAAAGATAGACGAAGCTATTTCTGATCCAACACATCCATCTCTGTGAGCAGGAAATAGAAGAATATTCCAGCAGTGATGGAGGAGAGGAAACAGGAAGTATCAGAGAACACAGAGGGATGAATGTGCCTTTAAAATGATTAATACTCTTTAATAGGATGCCAACATTATAAACCAACAACGACTGTCAGGAGTTACTACAGAGGACGAACACAAAGAACAGAGGGAGAAAGCAAACATCAGCCCAGACGCTACATTCCTCTTCATGGCCTCCTACAGGCCTCCATCCTTAAGCACATTTTGCTCCATCTGTTGCTCCAACAACACGAACGTTACTCACACTGGCTTCTCACGTTGATGAAACACAGTTTGTGCTGCATGTTTGGGCGGACTCCCTCACAGATCTGTGTTACCAGGATCATAAACCAGTCCACGTTGCTGGTTGTTCAGGCCCACGGTCAGAAACACGTGTTCATGTGTGACATGGTTTTCTCTCCGAGCTGCAGTCAAACATCGACGCTTTCTGTCACTCACAGAGTGTTTTAGGCTTGAACCCAGTGACAAGCACCGGCCTGGATGTGTCTGTAAGGACGACACCACAGCACCGCCCCAGTGTTTCCTGTTACAGCCGGTATCCTGTTGCTGGGATAAAGCCTCTGTAACACATCCCAGGAGCCAACAAGAGTCAAATCAAGTGTTTTATGTATCAGTGTGAACGGCTGTGTTCAGAACAGGTGAGTTTCCCCACAGGTGAGTCTGGACAGCATTTGTAATGCATGAAAATATCACAGAGCTGGTGTGTGAAGAGCTGTTAGTCATAAAACTCACTGAGCTCTGTGTCACTCTGTGTCACTCTGTCACTGACATCATTTCACACTTCTGTGATGAACAAAGTAAATGATAATTACACTGTGGTACACTACAGAGTAACGACATGACTCACATGCACTGTAACACGACATGTCTCAGACATGAACCTCCAATCACAGCTCTGATCCACACAGACTGAGACAAGTGTTCTCTGTGTTTCCACCAGCTCATTCACATCTCTTCATATTTATGATATGTGTCCACTAACGGTCTTCCTTCCTCCACCTGACAGCATCCTCTCCACCATGGAGCAGCTCAGGATCAGAAAATTTAAAAACATCCCACAGCTTTGTTGCATTCCTGCTCTTTCTCCTCCAACTGCTGCTGTTTGAGCTGAAATGCTCCTGACTGCTCCTGGGCCATCTGTCACACCTGCACGTGTCACACCTGCACGCCTGTCACACCTGCACACCTGTCACACCTGCACGTCTGTCACGCCTGCACGCCTGTCAAGCCTGCACGTCTGTCACGCATGTCACACCTGCACATCTGTCACACCTGCACGTCTGTCACACCTGCACGTCTGTCACGCCTGCACATCTGTCACGCATGTCACACCTGTACACCCTTGGTGAATCATTGCTGTACGACCGATCACATGATCTCCTGCTGGGGAGGTTGGATGATGCCTCTAAGATTATTAGGACCCTCCACAGACGTGACCTCGTCGTCACAGTCGTACCCACACGTGTGGTTACTGCACACCTCTGAGACCAAGTTTCCACGCTAATGATGCCACTCAGGTTCATCCTGTGATACAACAGGTGATCACCCTGAACCGTCCCGTGGCGCCAACAGTGTCTCTAACACTCGGTACTTTCCTTCAGTTTCCTGTAACGAGCGCGCCGCCGAGCGCCACAGGTCAGGGTGACAGTGCAGTTTAACACACGACCTGTTGCAGCCCGCCCCCACGTCCTGAACCCAGCTTCAGTTTGGAGGGAAACATGACCGTCTCCGTGACAACAAGCACATGTGAGCCTCGACATGTGACGCGCCGATTCCACATGTGCTCAGCATCCAGCGCACGGCCCTCCTGCTCACAGCTGGCTGCGGCTAGCATCAGCTAACATACGTGCTAATGTGGCTATGCTAACACACACACACACACACACACACACACACACACACACACACACGGGGGCAGAAAGAGCGAGAGACAGTGGTGTTGAATGAAAACATGAAATCTGAACACACACAAACACACACACACACAAAACACTGGCTTTGATGCTTCATGAGGACACACACGAGGACATGTATGTGTGTCCTCATAAACCGTGTGTGTGTGTGTGTGTTGTGGCGGATGCGTGCGGGCGGTCTGCTCTTACCTTGGTGGTGACAATGCAGAGGCAGTCCATATCCACACACACACACACACTCACACACACACATTTCCACACACACTCATACACTCATGCTCGCTCTCCCGCTCTCTCTCTCCTCGTTCTTCTGTCTATCCTCCCTCGCTCGCCCGCTCTCTCAGCTCCTCTATCCTCCGTCTGACAGCACTGAGCGAGAGAGAGAGAGAAGGGGGCGAGCGAGCAGTGCAGGAGAGAGCGAGAGATGAAGATGAGGAAGACTGGGGTGTGTGTGTGTGTGTGTGTGTGTGTGCGCACCTTGAGTCACTCGACAGAAGGAAGACATGAAGAGAGAGCGAGAGAGAGGGTGAGAGACACAGAGGAAGAGTGAGGGGAGGGGGTGGTGGGGGCTGGGCTCCTGTTGCCATGGTGTTATGCAGCTGTTGCCCCGGCAATGCTGCTGCAGCTGTTGCTAAGTAACAGCAACGGGTGTTTCTATGTGGATTATAAGTTTGTTTTGTTTTAGGTGTGTGTGTGTGTGTGTGTGTGTGTGTGTGTGTGTGTGTGTGTGTGTATTCGTACCTGTACAGGTGTGTGTGGTTGGTCCGTCGTCTGGTTCTCACACACCGTCAGCTCGTAAAACTCCTGGATGTCTGCGCACGCACACACACACACACACACACACACACACACACACACACACACACGTCTGAGTGTGTCACGTGCAGTTCCTCTGGTGTCCAGCAGAGGCAGCAGTGAGTCAGTCCTCATGTTAAACATGTTTACAGCTGGATACACAGATGTTTCAGTCTCTGTGGATAATTTAAAGTTCGCATCATTAGGGGCGTGGCCTCTTTGACTGACAGGTGGATGTTGATAATAGTGACTGTAGCTGCTAGCTGTTCGCTAGCTTCACCTGAACTGAACCTCTGTACCGAGTTTGTGCTGTTGGAGCATTAATAACATGAAAAAGTTTAAATCTTTGACTTACGGAGCCAAAGTCATGTAAATGACAGAGAGGCGTCTGAATTTTGAGGAAAAAGATGGAAATGTTCAGATTTTAAAGTAAGACTATGAGAGAAAAAGACATGATGGACAAACAGGCTGTGATTGGCTCACAGGAACAACTAACCAGCAGCATTTCTTGGCTGTGATTGGACAGAATAGTATAAACAAACAAACAGAAGAAGAAAATGGGCCCATGATCAGCGCTCCCTGTGCAGCAGCGCCCCCTGGTGTGCCAGCCACACAGCGTATTCTGACACTCTAAAATCAGATTAAACCTGAATGCATCATCATGAACCCCCGCCTGTCCCACAGTTAAAGTTCTGCTCTGTTTCCATTAGTCTGGTCTGCTGGTTAGTGTTCAGGCTGAGTTAGTGCAACCTCATAGAGCCAATCAGATCACTCAGAGACCCTGCAGGCTCGCATAAAGTGAAACAGTGCTTTAAAAACGGCTCTGCCATTAACCCATCACAGAAACATCATCGTCTGAACCTTCATCACAACTGCTGCATGAACACGTGAGCTCGCACCTGCAGCAGCCAATGGTGACTCAGTAAACCCCGACTGTCTCAGCCAATCACTGCACTATAAACAGCACAGACTCACAGTCTGATGGAAACAGCATCATAACTGTGATTTTAAATAATCACGTTAATTATGAAACAGGATTTCATGATAAAACAACTCAAATCACAATATTCTACAAAAATATTTAGAAAAGATCAGAAAAAATCTCCTTCAGATGACTGAGAACCATAAAAACTGTCACAATTATAATAAATAAATAAATAAAACTAGTGATACATTCAAAGAACATATTTCTGCGAAAACATCCCCAAAATATGAAATAAGCATCAGGAAAAATCTCATTAAAACGTTTTATTTTAACTAAAAATATGGATGAAGGAGTCAAATTTAAAGTGAATTATAAACTAAATGTTCTACAATTATTATAAATGATAAATATAATGAACACACACATCTGTGACTCGCTATAGGAGAACAAGCTCGTTATGTTGATGTTATGTTTCTAAGAATAAAATTACAGAAAACTGCAGAAAAATAATTATTTCTGAAAAATCCAAACGCCTGAAACACGCTCTGAAAGTTTTCTAAAAAGCGTAATAATTACATTTCATTGTGAGGAAACAAACGTTGAATATTCAGATTTAGTGAGAGAACAGCTCATTACAGTAATCTAAAGTAATAACTAAATAATAATCATTCTAAAAGAAGTTAAATATGTCTTAAATTATAAACTGTCAGGAAACAAGAGTATTAAAATGTTACATTTTAGAAAAAGTATTTATAAATATGCAGAAAGAGTCCTGGTATGTTAAATACATGCACAGTAACACAAACCTGATAGGCCGACACAGAAACAGGTGAAACTCTCTGATGTGTCTGTATCCTCACCTGTAACCAGCTGAGTCAGTGACGTGATCATGTGACCTCTCTGAGCGTCTGTAATGAGCTCAGCCGATCATCAGGATCACTTTACTTAGAGCTGACGAAGCCCCGCCCCCTCCTGCTCTGATCCTGAAGCAGCGCCACCATCAGGTCACACTGAGAGTCACACCTGTGACATCTGTGTGTGTGTGTGTGTTCCTGTCTAGCTATCTTTGTGAGGACCAAAATCTGCATTGTGAGGAGACACGCACAACGGTCCTCGCAGGTTTGAAGACATTTAAAGGCATTTTTCAGGCTCAAAACGTGGTTTTAGTGTCAAGGTTACAATTAGGTTATGGTTAGGTTTAGGGTCAGGCTTTTCACAGACAGGCAGTCACAAAGCGCTGTACACAAATATTAAAATAAACAATACAATCTGTCACAGTCTGGCGAGGGCAGACTGTAGGGGTTGACAAAAGGACCCAACATGCAGACTCCAAGGAACAGGAAGAAAACTTGAATGTTAACAAAAAGCGAGCCGTTTAATATGGCTGGTAGAAAAGGTACAAACAAAGGGCAAGGCAACCTGAAGCAAGATTAACACAAACCTAAACTGGGGAATCTAAACAGACAATAAGACACACCTAGACAAGGAACTTGGAAACATGGCGTGGACAACAGACGACCTGACAATCACACACTGGAAACAGAGGACTTAAATACACAGCAGGTGATTAGGGGGAGTGGGAACACACGGAGGAACAGCTGACTGACATGAGCCTAATGACAGGACAGGGGAAGTGAAACTAAATACAATGAACAAAGAACACACGACTCCTTCAAAATAAAACAGGAAACATGAGACAGACATGATAATGCAAACTTGATAACATGAAACACGAAGGGTGAGGGGAACTTAATGCAGGGGAAGAAAACACAAGGAGTCTAATAACCAAATGAACTTAGATAACCAAATGAACTCAAACTTAAAAGGCTGGGTCAACAGACCCAGGACCATGACAACAATCAACAGACATTATACACAATGTAAAAGATCAAATAATGTAAAGAATATAAAATACGTAGATCAACACAAGGCTTGTTTGAGCAGAAGAGTTTTTAACTGCTTTTTAAAAGAATCCACAGAGCAACTACAGTGTGTTGCTTATGAAATCCATGAAGTGCTGCAGAGAAAATTACATTTTATTTATGTAATGAACACATTTTGAAGAAGTATAACAAAAGCAAAGACACGCAGCTGAACTAAAGTGATCCAGCAAACAGAAACTGCTGTGAGCCGCCCTTATATCTCCTTTGGGCTTTTGGAGCCTTGACCTGACTTTAAAAAAAATAATTGGAAAAAAGCTCTATGCTGCTAAAAAATAGATGTTTGCAAAATTCTGCCTAAGTATGTATTTTACCTGGTTACTGTGTGTGGCGGGCGTGGTCTGCAGCGCCGCTGCAGGGGAGGCGGACGCACCTGAGCGGCACCCGCAATCAGGCCTCGCTGCCTTAAAGTCTGTGCTGTTGTTGGTGTGTGTCGGGCTGTGCGCTGCAAAGCTACAGCCGGCTGTGTGCGCACAGCAGCCGTGTGTGTAAAGTGGTCAATAAAGAGATGCTGAAAAGCGCGTTCATGCAAACATCGTCGGGTCTGCTGTGGTATGTTTACAATAAGACTTATGGTCCTGAAGCTCTGCGCACAGTGAAGTCACTTTATCTCTACAGGACTGTAAGCTGTCGTCTGTGAGGCGTGAGCGTGTTTGTTTGAACACAGTTCACGGTGGAGCTGCTGACATAATGTGGATCCGAAGATCCATAACTGGCCTACCTGGGGCTGAAAGTCTCCATAAATGCAGGCGTTTCGGCGGCTACACCGGCTTCTGCGATGTGACGCTTATTTTGAGCGATGAAAAAAATAATAAGATATAATTGTATTTTTATATTTCAATATCACAATAATCTAACAATTTAGAACTGCAAGTTAAAAAAGAACTGACATAAACAAATTACACTTCAGCTAAATACTTTAATTTATTTTCCCAAACCGCGCGGAGCCGCAGTGTAAGGACTAAAGAGCCGCATCCTGCTCCGGAGCCGCAGGCTGCCGACCCCTGGGCTAGGGAAACCATTATGTCAATGAAAGTCCTCACTAAGATAGCTGAACGAGAATGTGTGTGTATTACTCTGTGTTCCTGTGTGTGTGTGTGTGTGTGTGTGTGTGTGTGTGTGTGTGTGTGTGTGTTGTTACCCAGCAGGGCCTGGAACAGGTCACTCTGGAAGATGTTGAGCAGCTTCTCTGCTCGACCTTTGACCCCGTCAGCAGCTCCAGCCTGACAGGCCTCCATCACCTGCAGAGCGCGCTCAGTATCTGAGGAGACAGCACAGCACACGCTTTACTGGACTCTACTGGACTCTACTGTGGTCCAAACCCTGTTGTGAGTCATGTATATGGAACTCCAGGACTGCCATAATCAATTAATTAAATAAACCATTAAATAATTAATTAAAATTGGAATTAATTAATTAAATAAATAGTTATGACACATTTAATTAATTATTGACACATTTAATTAATTATTGACACATGTAATTAATTATTTAATGATATATTTATTTATTTCATTTTGGCAGTCCTGACGCCTGGCTCTCATCATGAAATAATTTTATCTGTCAGCCTCACCCATCAAACTCAGGGGGCGGGGTTAACGCTGATCGAGTCAAAACCATTGCTTTGGCCTGGTGGCCATTGTTTCTAGCACACAACAACCGGCATGTGGAAGCTAACAGAACTGAGCTTTGAAAAACCCTGTTTGTGTGTTACCAAATACCGTTTTAATATTTTTTTAGAGGAGAATGTAGTGGTTTAATCTTCATGTGTCTGGTCGGTTTGTCAAGATACAGCCTCTTTGCAAAAGTGTTTCGATGATTTCGGAGATGTCGTCCCAGTCTCACGGCAAAGCGTGGGATAGACCCGCTCGCCTCGCAAGCAATCCCACCGACAAAGCGCAGGCCCCGGTACACAGCTGTAGTAACCCCCGCTGACTTCTTTTACTGAGGTTATATTTATCGGTGTTTTATTTCCTGATGTTCTTATGTGTCCTACGTGTTTCAGTCTGAATTATAACTAACATTAAAAACATGTTTAAGGAGGAGAGAGAGCAAATAAATCTGTTTAACATCTGATCTTTGGGTTTTTGTTCAGTAATCAGCGTGACCTGTGTATAAACACATAAAAGAGATAACGTTGGTGTTTCCGTCATGTAGTAACTGCTGGCTTTAACTGTACAAAGGTTGTTCCACACTATGAAACACATACAGACTTCATGATGTTCGGCTAATATTTTTATTGTGAATATTAATCATGGTGACCTCGCCCTGTACACCACGCAGCAAGGTCAGCATATCCACGATATCCTCAGCTCCATGAGTTAACACAAAGTTTCCCAGCTGACTATCTAACTTCCAACTATTCCAGAGACGTGAAAATATACAGCATAAAGAAAAGTGTAAGAGACTCAGCAGCAGATTAGAATAACAGTTATAGATTTAATAAATCACCAAATGAATCCAAGAAACGAGCAAACCTGAGTTTGTGTTCCCTCAGCTGCAGACTCGCTGCTGTTTAAATGTTTGAAAAGGAAGATTAGATATAAAAAACGTCAAACATAGACTCAGTCTGCCTTCACATTTGATATGAGGCCAGCACGTATAGTGGCTGTGTCCTGTTTTAAGATCATACATGTATAATTGTTGTCTGACCTCCGTCGATCCAGCCGCTCAGAGTCCGTGGTTACCATGGTTACTGCATAATCAGCTATAATGTTAACAGCTGAGGAAACCTACCGGCAGCATGGGTGTTTATGTTTTCATTGCAAAAGAACCGTCTGAATGGTTAACTGAAGTTAACTTGGATAAATTATAGTTAAGGAGTATCACAGATAATGTCTATGTGAGCTGTGCGACTGTTCACCACTACACTGAAATCAGCAGGCTATTACTGAAATACACATGCTATATCATAAACTATGATATAAACAGGGAGGTCCTATTAACATGTTTAGTTTTAAAGGACACCTTCCTGCCTTTAGTCTCATTCATGAGCAGTATTAGTTTTCTTCTAACATCCAGAAGTCTGCACAATGTGTTTCATAGTTTGTAACAAGCCTTTGACAGGTAAACATAACATGACCGAAAAAGCAAAAAAATGGTTCATTTATGTTTGATGTGTGTTTATTCCTCCCTAAATATCGTCGCTGAAGTTTGCCATGCATGTCAGATTTTCCTGCGCATTTTTATACCTCTGCCAACAGAGAGAGAGAGAAAAAATCACATTCTAACAGACAGCTGGTGCTTAGAATACAGTTGAATAACTATTAAAAAACAGATGATATTTAGATGATAGTTCAGTCTAACACATGTGCCAGTGAACCATTAAACGTCTGTGAAACTATGCAGTTATGAAACGTAACTTTAACCTCAGCCAAACCGATTTGCTCAGTTGTAAATAAAACAGCGAAGTAAACGTGAGCCGACAGACAGAACCTGAGTGAATGAAGTCCAGCGTTTAACCACTGAGAGCTAAAACTCAGCTGAGGTTTCAAAGCTGTGTGCCGGTGATTGGACATCAGCCGCTGATGAAGCTGTTCGCCTATAAAGTGCTCTGTAAGGAAACAAGCTCCAGCAGCTCTGCGCTCGGGGAAACACTATATTTACTTATCTTGTGCAGAAAAATGCGCTGACATTGCGTTATATCGAGCACCGGCTGCCCAGTTAAACTGTGACTATCACCAGGTAACTAGGCGTGTTTCTTGAATTAGCAGCAGGTGTTAAACAGCTGACAGATGCATGCAGGTAAACTGAGGGTCTGTTGAGCTGATCGCTGGTTTCGTGAGAAAAATGTCAGCTCGTTCTTTATGTTACAGAAGCACAGAGACACAAGACCAGGCGGAAAGAGACGATCGTTCGGTGAAAATGAGAATCTGCGAATGCAACATGTGGAACACGGAGAGTGGAATATGTAAACAAACCGGTTAACGTAACCCCCTCGGTGCACTCTGCATGCTAACTGTTAGCAGAGCTAGTGACATCTCTGAAAACCTTGGAGCACTTTTGCAAATATGTTCTTTGTTGACAACCTGACCAGACATGTGAAGATTATGTATGTATGTATGTATATATATGTATATATTGTACTATTCTTAGTTAGCGTATTGTCTGTCTTGTCTTAATGTTGGTTTAAAATGGAGCACTGTAACAAAAAATAATTTCCCCCAGGGATCAATAAAGTATTCTGATTCTGATTCTGATTACTGCGCGACATCCGCTGGTTTCCTCTTTCTGGCGCAAAGTGGGCGATAAACAAATAAACAAACCTCCACCACTTGCTAATGTTACTGAATCTGTGGAAGCTCCACCATAGCCACCACACGAAGTAACGAGTAACGAGCCTCTCTAAATCCCAGTAACAACTAACGCGTTCCTGATTTTGGCTTAATAACTAGTTACCGTGCTCGTTACCACAATAATAACGTAGTTACTGTAACGCGTTACTTAATAACGCGGTAGTAAATGGTAAATGGCCTGTATTTATATAGCGCTTTACTAGTCCCTAAGGACCCCAAAGCGCTTTACATATCCAGTCATCCACACATTCACACACCCATCCACACACTGGTGATGGCAGCTACATTGTAGCCACAGCCACCCTGGGGCGCACTGACAGAGGCGAGGCTGGCGGACGCTGGCGCCACCGGGCCCTCTGACCACCACCAGTAGGCAACGGGTGAAGTGTCTCGCCCAAGGACACAACGACCGAGACTGTCCAAGCCGGGGCTCGAACCGGCAACCTTCCGATTACAAGGCGAACTCCCAACTCATGAGCCACGATCGCCCACACTGCAGCCTGGTCACACTTTGAAGGTGTAAAGAAGCTCAAAGACGTCTCCAGGAAACATGTGGAAGAGCACTTTAACAGTCGGGATACCAGGGGCACGAGGACACTCCACCTGTACACATGAGGAGCCCCGCCCCCACACTGCACACCTGTGTGTTTTCACAGGTCGGACCTCTCACACTACCAGCATCAACAGCAGCTGTGTGACATCTGGAAACTCTGAGCACAAATGAAGTGTGAAAGAAATATATTTAAGAACAGGTGAGATGGAAATGAAGGAATTCCTCGTTATTATCAAACTGTCTGAATCAATCATTACATGTTCAGGAAACATCATCAAAGAAATGAAATAGAACAATATTAACGTGTTTGCTGTAATAACAAACCTCTGCCCGAGATCAGCTCTCACAGCTCACCATGAAAGGAACCTGAACCAACACTGCTACATCCATCGGCTCCATCACCTCGTGGGGGGCTGTGGTGCTGTCCTGCTGCCCATTGCTGTTGGTGTTGGGGGTATGTGGGTTCCCCTGGGGTAGGTTTCTTGTGCGGTTTGGCGTGGGGGCTGTGATCCTGACCTGGATGGGGCTTTTGTGGCTCTTGGGTGGTGTTCACTTGGTTACCGGCCTGGCAGCCTGCCCCTGGGTTCTTGGGGTGCTCCACCTCCAGGCTGGGGTCCTGGTTGATGTGTCGCTGAGGTTGTGGGTGGGTGCATCCTGGCGCAGGGGGCCTTTGGTGCATTGGTGGAACCTTCAGCTGGTGGGGAGGTTGTTACCATCCTTTGCAGGGCGTCTCTGCTCTTGAGGAGTCCACTCCGCAGGTGGGGGAGGAGCTCAGCCTGGGTGTCTTTCTTCTTATGTAGTCTGGGAGTTGAGTGAAGTTTGGGGTGGGTGTAGTTTTTCCTCTGTGGTGAGGTCAGATGGACCTCTGTGGAAGGTGCAGCCCCTCCAGGGAGGGAGTACTTTCCCACCCCCCAATCCTTTCCTCCCCATCTGTCTCCCTCCTCCCGCTCCATCACACCCCCACACATGCAGGGCCTCGGGGTACAGGTGTGTCACTGAGGTGCAGGGAGGCATTCCCCCTCTGGCCCCTCCACCTGTGCCTCAGTTTTATTCCACAGCAGAGACGTCCACATTACACATGCAGGGCCTTGGGAGGAGGCGCTGCATCTGGAGGAGGGACGGCCACACCTGCCTGATCCATGAAGCTCAGATCAGCTGTGTCTGCTGTGTGTGAACATCTGTCCACATGTGCAGAGCGCTGTGATGGGTAGGTGTTGTTCCTGCTCTGCCCCTCACAGATGGAGCAGCTGTTGGAGTCTCTCTCACACCGACCTGCAGCAGGGACGCTTCCAGGAAAAGCCTCCAGCTCCAGGACCTGATCCCCGAGTGTCTGTCAGAGGAAAGGAGGAACTCTACTTCTGACTGACTACCAAAATAAAAGTTTAGAGTCAGGTGGAGCTCCCTGTGTCCTCCACACTGTCTGAGGTGTCTGTGAGGTCATCATGAGACACACCCACCTCCATCAGCTGTGCACAATGCAGGTCCACTAAGACTTAGAGAACAGCTTCCACACCCACCCACTCAGTCATGTGTGGACCCCATCAGCATCAAACCTGAGAGAACCTCAGATGGAGGAGGGGTGGAGTCAGAAACCAGCTGCAGCTGCTCCATCTGTGATAAGCTGAGCAGACTGAGCTCTGTACACAGAGCTCTGTATGAGCAGGTCATGTGACAGCAGGGCTGCCTCTCACCTGTGAGCCCGTCACCTGCTCATGCAGACTGAGATTTAATCGTGTGTGTCGGAGTCCGTCGGGTCATGAGGACAGCAGACCTCCCCCTGCCTCCTCAGCTCCTCTGAGGGGTTTACAAACCGTAACCCAGCGTGATGACCCGCCTCCTCCCAGCAGGACACACCTGACGCTCCTCCAACAGGTGGTGTCCTCAGCCTCCTCAGAGCTCCGTCCCTGAGGATCCTGTCAGCTCCTGCACCCACAGAAACCATGAAACCTGCTTTGGCCCTGAGCTCTGATCAGCTGGTCCGTCCGTCCGTCCGTCAGCCTCAAATAAAGTTTCACTTTGAATCCAGCAGCTCGTGTCAGGAGCTCAGGTCACATGATGCCCAGGCTTCCTGTATGACCCACTCTGAGGTCAGACCAGGAAAACCAGTCGAAACAAGATGAACCCCAGTGTAACCATGGTGACTGACAGAGGTTAAAGGTCACGCAGACAGTAGATTTTTATATATACCAGTGAGGAGAACAGGAAGTGAAAGACAAGAAGAAGTAGAAGAAGAAGAGGCTGAGGACGAACCACAGGAGTGAAACCACACACACACACACCTAAAACAAAACAAACAAACAAACAAACAAACAAACAGAACGCTGATGTGGAAAAAGCGTCTCACCTTCTCTCTTCAGCGGCATGTCGTCTCTCTGATCCTCACTAATCCTCTTTGGAGATTTTACACTCGCAGTGCACTCTGGGTAACAGAGTCCTAATCCCTCTTTACTGAGGCTCCGCCCATCTCCAGTTCACGGGATTGGACGATGCTGTCCGTCTCAGTGAGAGTCACCGTGGTTTAAACTGAGCTGATGAAGGAAAACATTTAAATGAATATAATTAAGTGTTGAGACGTGTGGGTCAAGCTCAGAGTCCATGACAGACACAGACACAGACGCATCACTGAGGCATCGATCCTTCAGCTGAGAAAACTCTACACTGACACACACGCCTGAGATCAGATTTATATGACAGATCAGAGTAAATATTAAGGATGAAGTCAAAACTGATGAAAGCAAAACGTCTCAGATTAGATATGGGTCAGGTGACACTTTGAATTCTTCGAGGTGTGAATACAGATGATCATTAAAGTGTCACGTCTGTTATCACACGTTCTGAAAATAAGAATTACGTCATTATTGCTGAGCTCTGAGCTGCTTTACACTGACAAATAAAATGAAATAAATATCCATCCATCCATCCATTCGCTTCCGCTTATCCTTTTCAGGGTCGCGGGGGCGCTGGAGCCTATCCCAGCTGTCATAGGGCGAAAGGCGGGGTACACCCTGGACAGGTCGCCAGTCTGTCGCAGGGCTAACACACAGGGACAGACAACCATTCACTCGCACATTCACACATAGTGGCAATTTGGATTATCCAATTAACCTATCCCCACAAGCTGCATGTCTTTGGACATAAATACACTCTTTATTTTTATTTGAAGGGTTAAAATGAAGCAGGATGTTTCAGCATGTCAGTCTAACAGAGATCAGACTGAAGTGTGTTAAACAGAATAGTGTTGTTACTCTGTAACTGTAACAGTTAATTAAAAGAGCATAATAATGAATTTCCTCAATCATTGATGCACTTTATGAATAGCTGGAGCCACCTGGTGGACAAATACTGCAACTGCACTGTGCATGTTCCCCATTGCTGCACAGTACATGCCTCAGCAAATCCCTTCTTTATTAGCCTTGTCTCTTGCTTTCTTGTGGTAAGTCTTTCTTCTGTATTCATTGAGAGACTTGAATGCTAATCCAAATAAAAATAATTAATTAAAAAAATTTAAAAATCCCATGTTGGAGGTGGGTGGGCATGAGCGATGCCGTTGTTAGTTTCTGTATGTTTATTAGTGAAAACGTTCTCACAGTGGTAATTGTATTTTCTTATAAGTAGTACTAGCATGTACCCTGAAAGTTACAGTCATTTTGGTGCATTAACAGTAACTTTATTCTCAAGTAGCATTGTTGGTTAGCACGCTAAGCTAATATTAGTTAGCTAGTCAGGTGCTTTCTGGCTCACCCCTAGCTCTAAAGTTTGTATGCGATTGTAACTGTTCTAATCCTTGTTAACAGACCTGAATGTTGCAGTCGCAACACACTGTTAACCTAACCCTAACCAACACACTGTTGTTGCCGACCAGAGATGGGCAGTAACGCATAACGCGTTACTGAAATCGGATTACTTTTTTTAAGTAACGAGTAAAGTAAGGGATTACTATTGCAAAAATGGTAATTAGATTACCCGTTACTTTCCCGTAGGAACGCTGCGTTACTAAAACCGTGAATCTTTTGTGAGAATGTCTCACGACAGTGACGTAAGCGAGTGCGACCTTAGTGACAACAGCTGTGTGCAGATCAACAATGGATCACATATCGAGTGCAGAGAGAGTATGAGCGTGCAGCGTTTAAAGCGTGGAAGTACTGACCTTACTTTGAGTTTGATTCCATAAAAAGTGACAAAAACATTAGTGTCCGTTGTGCGTGGGAAGAAAACTTCTTTTTACAGCGAAAAAAACTCCTAAACTTCCAACAAGCACCGAGTAGCTACGACGTGATGGGAAACTCACAGAGAAACTCGCGGATTCTTCAACTGACCGCGGCACACCTGCACCAGGGTAACCCTCCGCCTACCCCACTCCTGCTTTACAGGTGAAAATAGAGCAACAGGACCGCTGAGTCTTTGACTTTATTTATTTTCTGCTGTGTTTTACTTGCATCTATTTGAAAGACTGAGTGTAAACACAAAAAATATTTTATTTTATGTGCAGAAAATAGGTTTAAATGCTAAACAAATTTCTTCCAGTCAGAGAATGTTGCATATAATTAAATCTTTGCTTGATGCATAAAGTTAAAAGATTAAAACTGATAAAACAAGTTAAAAAGAGACTTTTCCATTTGATTACATTTTGTATGATGGATTATGTAGAAAAAGTAGAATTGGGCTGAAAGATCTATTTATCACCTGTTCAGGTTGTAAATCGGGTTTTTAAAAAGTAACTAAGTAACTAAGTAATTAATTACTTTTGAAAATAAGTAATCAGTAAAGTAACGGGATTACTTTTTTGGGGAGGTAATCAGTAATTAGTTACTGATTACTTTTTTCAAGTAACTTGACCAATACTGTTGACGACAGTGTGCTGTCATCTTTGTACCAGAATAAAGAGGCAACCCAGAAGAGCAAGCCCAGTGCCGTCCTTTCTACACGGGCATGTAACATCACATCCACCAGAGACAGCTACATAACGCGTTACAGTAATCACATTACATTTTTCAGTAATGCAGTAACGTTCACAGCAATGTGTTACTGCACTAAATTCAGTAATCACATTACAGTTACAGTTACGTTGTTACTTGAGTTACAAAGGTTCTTCAGTTATCAGCGCGAACAGTAGCGCGTTTGCGGCTTAAATTTCTCTATCTAGAAATATATGTTAAAAAACTAAAATGATTTTCAATGTTTTGTAGTTTATTGCACTTTTCTGCAATTTATGTAATTACTATGCATTTAATGCATAATAGAATAATAGAAGAGTCGCACAGTGCTTGGTGTAGCCCCATAGTTCTTGTAGTGAAGAAAGATGGGTCTGTACGGTTCTGTGTGGACCACTGCAAGGTGAATGAGGTGTCACAGTTTGATGCGTACCCGATGCCCCAGGTCTACGAACTCCTGGACCGGTTGGGCACTGCTCATTTCTTTACGACACTGGATTTGACCAAGGGCTACTGGCAGAATCCCTGCAGAGTCTAAGGAAAAAACTTACCTTCTCGCGGTTGACTATCACTCTAGATTCGTTGAGATTGCTTTGTTAAATAGAACAAAATCAAACGATATCATTACCCACCTGAAATCTTTCTTTGCCCGTCATGGCATCCCAGAGGTCCTCATGTCTGATAATGGGCCACAGTATCCAGGTCAAACCTTTGCAGACTTCGCAGCAGTGTACGGGTTTAAACACAAGCAGGCCCAAGTTTCCGTAAAGTAATGGAGAAGCAGGGAGAACTGAATGAAACTCTCCTGCACCTCAGCGCTGAGCTCCACATCACGCCCTGTGAAAGCACAGATATAAATCTGCTGCAGTGAGAAGAACTTTACCCAACACAAGTGTAGAAGTAGACATTTGACTTTACCTACAACCTGTTAACAACAAAGCTTTCATTGCCTCTGTTGTTGATGTCATGTAGGACTAATCATACTTCACATCAGCCATGCACACGTCAGAGGATCTCCAGGCTTTCAGTAATAAAGCCAAGCAGATGATGTGAACATAGCAATAGTAAAACATGCATCATAATCAGCTGTATGTGTCGACTATGTGGCACCTCAGTCTTGTTGGCATGAAGAAAAGTTGTGTAACATGTAGCATAAGGGCTGCAAAGACATCATGTAGACAGCAGTCGTCTGTTAGTCGTAACGTATCTCCTGTTAAAGAGTTAAATGTGCGTTCTCCATCTCTGTCCTCTCACAGCTCGCCGTATACCAACTCCAGCTGTGGTAACCATGGCTGTGCCCATCAACACGCTGAAGCTGAGACGCCACCCGTCACTATGGCGACTCCAATAGGGTTACCTGTCAGCTGTGGACGCATGAAAGGAAAACAGCAGAAACACAGACATGTTTACTGGAACATTTCCTATTGACAGCTTTATGGAAAAGTGGGTTTAAACACTTTTCTGTGTTTGATTTTGTTTATTTATGGATTTATTGTGAAAGGAATTTCAAAGGTTTAATTTGACCTTTCCCCTGTTTTTCATACAGACTGGAGACGAATGGATGGTGCTTTCTTTGTTTGTCTAAAGATAATGAATAAAACTCTACACACATCTTAAACCACCCTCCTTTCTATATATTTTGTTATATAAATGGAAAGTATATAAGACACAAACTGAGCTTATATGATACTAAGGACCCTGGAGGTCAGTCCACCTTTATAATTCAGCACAGCCTGGAGTCTCTTAGTCAAGCTTGTTTGTGTTTTCTGTGAGGAAGTTTTCAGCAGCAGCTCTTTTCTTGGATGTTGGTTCCCTTTGTTTCCATCCTCTGTTAAGATGTTTCAGTAATGTTGAGGTCTGGGGAGGCCAATCCATGGCTGACGTCCTGTGATGCTGCATTAGCAGTTTGTTCATAGTGAAAAATGAAGCCACTGCCAATCAGACATTTGCACAGTGGATCAACTTCTGATGGTACTGTCCTGAATTCCACACCTATAATATGTTTGCATGTACTGATGAATATGTGCAGCTGATTTTCAGTCCAGTTCCTGTGTGACAGACGCCAGTCTTTCTGCCTGTGTCCTTCCTTAACAATAGAGCCATCCTTCCACTGAGACTGTTTCTGATGAGGCTTCACTGAGCAGTAGATGGATCCCTCAGCTCATCTAATCGTCCTATTTCTAACACATGACTGTCAGAAACTGTTAATCTGCTGCAGCTCTTTAACTCCTCCACTTCTTTTTTGTAATCTCTTAGTTTCCTCATTTTTAAGGTGGCACTGCACACCAGATCCAAAGTCAACATGCTGTTATATGATGGAGATGAACCTGTAATGGAGTTTGATTTAAACCAATCTAAGCAATTAAGTGAATGATGATGAGCAAAGAAATGATGGCGGAGCCGCATTCTGCTTGGCCTGTAGATACCTGTCGGCTGCCTCCGGAGTCCCACAGGCTAACCAAGCCCGATAGGCCTCCTTCTTCAGCCT